AGAGTAACTGTAACCGACTCTCCCAGTATGGTGCTTCAATTTCAAAATGGTATTGAATTCTCGATTACGAATAAATCTTATTTCACTATATTTTTATTTTATTTAATTCATTTACGGTTAACTTAATGACTCTAACATTAGCTTAGACTTCACAGGGTATAGAGAGTGAATTTATAATACTAGACTTCATATATATAAATTATAAATTAAATTCTTTGCGATACAACGGCGTGTAGTCTAGTGAAATTCAACAGACATTTCGGAGGATAATATGGCGTCCATTTTCAGTGTCTAAAAATAAGAGAAGTGAGAAAGCAAGATGAAACACAGCTTTGCTCACTGCCCACACTGTTCTGGTGTCTTGTTCTTCGAGCTTAATAACGCAGATGATATGGTCTCCAAAACGTCGGTTGACTTTCATTGGAATGAACGTCATTATGTCCCAGCAGATATAATCCATTGCTGAGAAAACATGAAATCAAACATAAATTATAAATAATTGAAATATGAAAACTCAATTGCAGTAACTGAAGCTTCCAACAAAACAAACATTATCGCTAAGTTGTTCCAAATCTGGTTCACGGGCTACAGGATAAGGGATATTGGTGAGCAGTGGAGGGGGGCCAAACTATGACTCCACCCTGCACCATGGGGGGTAGAACATGTGGTTCTGGCAATCTTCCACACTCAGCAATAAACCGGACGGAGGAAAGACACAGCAAACACATTTCCTGAGGCCGATAACAGACATATTACACGAGACAGATGGAGTTGGTATCCTGTACTTTATACCCACAAGCGCCTGATATGTAACAGCAGTACTCCACAGTAAAACAATGAAGTAAAACAACAGTATATTGCATTCACACTAGCGAAAGCTGGGAATAAGGCAACGCTAATCCACGGACATAAACAATGAAAATGAAACAGCAGACTGCACTCACAAAACCAAAAAAACAACATGACAGTAAAATACACACAAATATTGGTCATGCAATAGTGAATTGCACTCATAAACAATGGGAATGAAACTGTGAAAGGACTGTACAAAAATATTGGAACATCCTAGGTGCTAACATTGAAATAAAACAACTGTACACAGAAGAGTGGGATAAAGTGCTCCATACACGAACACTGCAGTCTAGCGTATTGTGAGTTACACTTAAATAAGCAAAGGTAAAGAATGAATAATTGTTTTCACTGTCCAAATGCAGATTTTCTATTTTGTCTTCTCTCTTACGTACTCATTCTCACTCATTCATGAAGCTGAGCCCTTCTTGAAAAGCTGCCAGTTGTCAGCTTCTCAAGAACTTCCCCTCATCTGATGGAACCCGAAGGTTCAGTACCGTGTTCACAAGAGTCTCCCAGTGGTCCCTATCCTGAGCCAAATCAATCCACTTCATACCATCCCATCCTATATCTCTGAACTCCATTTTAATATTGTCCACCCACCGCCCCTATGTACATTCTTCTACAATATGTTTCGGCCTCATCCTCGGTTGTAGTTGCTCTTGTTAAAACTGTCGATTGTGGAACGCGCTCTCTTACTTTCAATAAAATTCTCTAAAATCCATAAAATGTTGGTACTTGCTGACTGTCAGCAGCGCATATTGCCAACTCTGTATGATTCTTTTTGGTGACGTGTTGATATCGCTCCTTGCTGAGTTATTCTGGCTGTGACTATAGTGACTACCGAAAGTAACAACACTTTCCACACGCGACTGAACTGAAGTGACAGTGCAACAACTTTAGTGGCAGTAACTATGTGTGAGGATGTAAATGTGAAGCCCAAATTTGTTGTACAAGAGTGTACGTAAGAGAGAAGGCAAGAATAAAACCGTTGCACTTGAACGGTGAAACCAATTATCCACTGAAGATTATTTGCAATGCAATAGGATGCTGAAGTACAATATTAAAAATAAAGAAAGTACCAGAATTCTACACTCACTAATTTCGGGAATAATATTGGAATTGGATTTCACACGGGAACATTAAATAAAATTTTGCACACAAAAATCATGAACATTACATTCACTAGCACTGGAATAAAGTAACTTGACACAACATTGACAAGAATGGACATACGGCGGTCTATACGTAAACGCTGCAGACATATGAACTTTGGCCACTTTCTGGGTAAACTTATCATAAATTTATAAAATCTGATTTTTTGCTCCCGGTATGTTCAGAACCCACAAGCATTTTGAAATTAGGGCGTAGTCAATAGAGAATTTGTTTGTTGTTGTTTGCGAATTACGCTACTTGTGCCACAAAATTTATTTTGCTGTATATACTGGCCTTCTCTTCTTCTTTTTTGCACTATGTCTTTATAACTGCTATATGGTCCCCTAACATTTTCATTTACCTTTTCTAGTTGCGTGACCTCTCCACATATTCCTTATCACCAATGGCTGAGAATAAATAGGGGTCTCTTGAAACACTTTATACGTAGTAAATTCAGCAATTATTTCAGATTAAAAGGTTCAGTTAATTTATAAAGTTTTTCTTTTCTATCAAACTTTAAAGTATTTTCAATTTATCGCTGTAACAGGCCGTGAAGGCCCATAGGGTTGTGAGAGGTTGAGACTCCCATATCTTCTAGACAGTCGGCTCACAGAGGGCGGAAATATTGTCAGCCTTAGTTAGTTAGTTATTGGAGAGGGTAGGTTTCCCCATGCACTTAGACCTGTCTTCGTCCATTGTGCTTCCCTCTATGATATTCTACCAGTCTCTATATCCTACCGGTACTGGTGCTTACCATCAGCCCCGCCCAGCCAGCGAGATCGGTCTCTACTAGCTGAGAGGTATCTATAATGCTTCCCCCATCTACCAGAGGTATTAGAGGCTAATGTTGGGCGGAAAACGTCCGCAATTTTGCTCAGTGGCCTCCTTTGGAGACATGAGGTTCTTTTACGTGCCGTAAAGCTATGACACGGGACCCACGGCTTAAAGTCCCCCCCGGAGGACTTGTTCCCTGAATTTTTCCGCCCTTAAAAATTCGACGACCTCCGCCGGGTATTTGAACCCGCGTACTACGAGTCATGAGGTGGGAACGTTACCTCTAGACTACGGAGGCCGCTAAATTTGTCAGCCTTACGCGACGACCGCCTTTTACCCCCTAGGAAGATTCCTGGTATTCATTTCTGTTGGAAACTGAGTCGACCCGAGGGCCATAGTGCGGCTCGAAAGATTAGGTAAACTGAAAAATTCACCTCATCGGGATTCGAACCCGCGATCTTCCGGCTTGTAGCATAGTGTCTCAGCCAACTGCGCTACCGCGTACCCCCTCTAAATGATTAACTTTGTTTTTTAAGCTGATCCATGTTTTTCAAATGTACTGTCCCTAAAGTAATCCAGTTATTCCTTTTTGTCTGATAAAGTACATATTTCCAGGCTATAGCCATAATAAATTATCATGTATCTGACTATTGATTTATTGAATGGAGAATTACCAAGAATAACAGGTTGAGACGCTGTTTTGGAGTTCATAAATGGTCAACACAGCGCATCACTGTGATGTCAATACACTGGAGCATTACAAAACTATTTACAAGCGTACTGTTAATCGATGCAAACGTCTGAACAATTTCAAGAAAACGGGAACAAGTAAAAGAAAATAAAGTAAAGTTTTATTCAAGGTAATTTATTATATTTTTAATTATTTATATTAAAAATACAACATTGTTATTATTTATCAAAACTCATACAACAACATATTCTTAGTATTGTTATTAATAATTTGATATTTTCGTTAAAGTAAATAACTCGTTTTAAATACAGATGACAGTACATACGAACACGCAGTACATTTTTCTCTCGTTGTGGCTGGAGAGAGAAGGCTATATGTAACACCGAGTTCTGCTGCATTCCCAGTAAAAGCAATTCACCACAACAATAACATTATACCACTGCTGCGTCTCCTTCCTTGTCGGTAACATCATACCAATACTGACATCTGGTGCTCTCCTTTGGCCAAAACAATTTCTTGCCTTAATGACAAAGGTACCGATGACAGAGGCTGCGCTATTTATGGCACGAAATGATATAATACTCTCAAACCCTTGGATCGTGGGTTCGAATCCCACTCGAGGCATGGATGTCTGTTTGCGTTCTTTCAGTGTTTGTGTTATCCTGTCTTGCGACGGGCTGATAAATTGTCCAAGAAATCCTACTGACTCTCTGCAAGATTCAAGTTTCAGAATTAATTCTGGATGGGCGCAGACAAAAGAACACAGTCCGTTAAGGTAGAAGGTAGCGGAGGAGAGGGAGGAAGAGGAGGAGAAGAAGAATGACACAAGATAGCATGAATACGAGATGGAGTTCAGTGACTTGCAGCTCTCAGTGACGGCTGTAAACAATGCAACGCGTTTTGGTCACCATTCATACGGGTTTCAGAAAGAAGCATCAGATGACAGCTACATTTTAATCACCTTTCCTGCAACCTTTCGAACCATAAAAGAAATAATACCGCGTGATGCAGTTTCACACATTTGGACTTGATATACCAAAAGTTTTGTTTGAAATTATTGGTGTCTTTCCTTTCAGTAGGTTTTTAACGGTGTTTTTTTTTTCAGTATCGAGATTATGTGTGTATACCTTCGGATGTCATGACAGATTAATTATACATTGGGTAACAACCGGTCTAATCGAGACAGCCCCTTCATATTTCTGGAGGGGCTGCAGAAAAGCACGTAAACCCTCAGCCAGTATAGCCTAGGTTCCGGCCGAGATTCGAACCGAGCATATCCAAAATACAAGTCCAGACGATTACCTGTAGAACAGTTTATTCGATGTCATTGGTATCGATATGAAGGATAGTTATAGCATGTCCGATTGTCTACCTCTCTCTTTGAAAAGCTTCATAAAGAGGTCACACGAAGATCTACTAAAAACATTCGCTCTCTGTAGCGTCTTCTGTGTCTCACTCGGGCGTAACCTACCGTGGGCACTATAGCTCAGGAAATTAAAGTGTGATAAGGACACTAAGGTCCTACTCTATCTGTATAAGTCAAGGTAGTTTATCACGTTCTTATTGACAGATATCCTCATATTAGTCATATTCTGAACTTCTCGTACATTTTCAACGTTGTTTCTGCCTCTGTCTTCAAGATGGAACACTACACAAAGCAAATAGCCAGCCAGAAGTAGTCACCTGCTTCTGGCTGGCTATTTGCTTGTCTTCGTCGTCGGCCTGATAGTGGAAGCAGTATTTCTTCTAAAATTTCGGCGAACATCCACCAGACTTCATTGCATTGCATCCAAGAAGACATTACTTTTCATTCTCTAGGTTCTTCGTCGGCCTTCCAATGCGGGAACCATTCTTAACCACTTCGAGATAAATGGCAGATGAGTTTGCATTTCTGGATTCCATCGCTTCTCCAGTTTTAGTGCCAATGTAAATGGCACCAAACGTTAAGGTCACGTGCGATTCAGTGAGTGTACTTAAATCTTAGGGGCATGTATAGAGGCATCAGTGACACAATTTACAGAGACGTAAGTCGTGCAATTTTCGGAGATGTTTCTTATCCTTGGTCTCGAACAAATAACTCGAAATAGCCACCAACTGTCGAAGCACTAATAAAAAATGAATGAAAGTTTTTGGCAAACATATAAACATAACCGATTTAATATTGTGGCAAGGGTAGGGAATGCCAGTTTTAACACTACGGGCATTTATTTTATACAATTCTGTAGTTTGAGAAAATCAATTAGCTTACAGTTAAAAGGGGCTCTAATTATATACAACTTCAAAAATATCATTTAGTAATTTTTTATATGTACAAAGCCAAATAAGCAAAACAGATGTCCAAACGTAATAGAATGATTTAAAAGAAGAAGACGCAATTGTGGTTACTATGGTAACTGCAGTACTACGTCATATCCACCGATGACGCAAGAGTTTTACTCCCCTCAGTCTCAGAATATGAGACTAGAACAAAGTTCATTCTTTGGAAGAGTCTGGAGACCAGAGGAATGTGACATAAAACTAACCTATTACTAAAAGAACTCCTGATTTCAAAGTTTTAACGCCGTTATGAGAACAATTTAGGTATAATCAATATTCGCATTAGGGAGAAAAAAACAACTGGTTTATTTTTTCCTTTCTCCATGGTGGGGCTTTTCTCTATGGTTTACCCTGTTAGTTTGGACACATCATCACTGTGTCGCCATTTTTAGGAAGTGCGCCGCACTGCGGTGAAGTCAGGAGTTAACAGTGGCCGCCGTTTCGAATTCAAACCAGTTTCTGGAACAACAGAGAAATATGTTAATACTCAAGACATCAATGGCTCCTGAATCCCGTTCTTCAAATATTTGAATACATTAATTCCATATAAAATGACATCTATCCTATTAACTTCCCCATTAACTCGCAGAATCAATTTAAATTCAATGGTTACAATTTTACACGGCATTTCAGACATTATTTCTTTTCTAGGAAAAAATAATAATGTAAGAATAAACTTTCAGTATCCGTAAAGATGGGGAACTTATTAGCGCATGAGTGACTACTGGCTTCTGAAAGAGGTTTCTTGTTGATGGAGTTGGTCACTTATACAACTCAACTATGCAACTGGAATTAGCACACAAATATTAATAGAGGCAAGCTAAATGTTCTCTCTAGAAGGGCACGCAGAAATTGATCACTACATCTTATTGCAGCCATCTCAAATATATACAACGTTTTGCAAAACAACGGCCTAACAAACAGAAAAACGAACTGCAGAAACGAACTTTCTGGAATAAACACATAGCTCCAAACACGTGGACGACGGCCCTTATTAGGTTGAATAGAATTTTATGAAAAAGATTTAATAGAACATTATAATGGATTTAATTAATTATTTATGTTATTTTAAGTGGACTGCAACGCGCGGTTTTAGCGCATATCAGAGCAGTGCAACACTTTGAATGCATTGAAACACCTGAGGATGGCCATCTATGGTCGAAACATGTTGTGTTAGGTGTTAAATTGTGAATAAACAATTGTTACGTTGTTGACGGACTGTGAATACATAGACGTTTTCCTATATAAATAGAAAAATAGGAAATAGAAATACGGATTTCATTTAAAGACTTTGAAGTTGGCCCAGCAAAGTCAATGGATTCACAGTAGTCTATGAAGACTTTTTACATCTTTCTGCAGAAGTTGACTCTATAGTTTTAGAGTCTACAAATAACGGATTTATCGTCCAATTTCATTCCAGTTTTCTCTCCAGTTTATCAAAGATGACATCACACAGACAGGCAACATATTGCATATTGCGGTGCGATGTCTGTACCAAATTTAATCAAAGGCCTTTGGTTATTTCATAAGAACAGGCACAGTAGTACCATAAGCCTGAAAGTTAAGTTGCTCCTGTGTTTAACTAATTAAGCAATATGCCATGACGGCGTAAGGGAAAGTGGATGTATATATCCATATTTTTTGAACTCGGCATTAGCTGGAGTCGAGTGTTCAAATTCACACCCCGGCCGCTTTACCCCCGGGGAAAGAGTCTATTCCATTGGAGGTTCGGCGGACCCAGAGCCGGTCTGGACGACGTGGAATCGAGGAATTTCTTGATCATACCGACCCCTTCTGTCGTCCAGCACATACCTGACGCTATATCGACTACGCTATCCCGGCTCCCAATACCATAATCTTATCTTTCATGCATATAAAAGTAGGCGAAATTATTAACATAATCTGAAAAATCATGGATTTATTAGCCCGTAGAGAGAAGTTACGAAGGAAGGCTCAGAGACAAAGACAATCAGTCAGACCTCTACAAGTAAATAAGCGCAGGCCATACTCACTCCATATATCACTGTCCTTTCTGTATGCACAGCCGTTCCTAGCAGGTTACAGAAGAACATGATAAACGAGTCAAGTTATAAATCAGGCCACACTTCAGACAATCAATTGGAGTGCACACTGTCCTTACACTGGCAGTTCTGTCCATTACTTAACAAGGTCTGGCGTGTCTGTAACTCCCGATGCTCTGTTATTAGGGAGGCAACCTAATTAACGGTCACTATGGAAACGCCAGTCCGCCCAACAAATAATAATCAATTCGTTGCCCTGCCGTGGGTTTTATATGACAGTCTGTTCCGGCATTTCATTGTTATGCAGAAATAAATTAGAGTATCAAGTTAATCACTGGAATCCGTTGGAGCAAACATAAATGGGACAATTCAAAGCACTGGAATAAAATGATAAACTACATATTACTACAGAATTAAGTATTATATCAATAAAAAAATATATGTGGGACAATGTCCTTCTTAGGATGCAAATAGCCGTTCAGATCGTCAAGAAATTCCCTTCTTCTTATGGAAATCGAAGTTTCATTACTCAGGTCATAACAGCAGGCCACGTATGGCTTGAATCCAGTCCACTTCTCACACCCTATTTCTATAAGCTACACCGTTCCTTTCAAGTGCTACAAATCCTGCCAATCTCATTGACCTTGGTTTCAGCTCCTTCGCATCTGTTGCACAACACAAATTATGAGACTCCTCATTCTCCGATGTATTGCACTTGTTACAACGGGAGATCCAGTCCATTCTTAGACTGGCCGGTTAGGCATTTCTTAGCTCACGTGGCCACTGCTGGCCTATGCGCCGTTGCTTCGTTTCATGATATATGCCGGGGCATATCCACAGCGCTCACTGTTAGATGCCCTTACACGCGGTGTAAGGCGTGAACCGTCCTCGCCCGCCAAAACACTGGGATCGTGTGTTCGAATCCCACCCGAGGCATTGATGTCTGCCTTTATTCTGTGTTTGTATTGTCCTGTGTGTAGGAAGCGGTCTTGCGGCGGGCTGGTCCCCCATCCAAGGAGTCATACCGGCTGGGTGTAGGTTTATGAAATTGAAGAGCTGCCAAAGTTCAGCAGAGGGTTTTAGAGCCATAGATAGATAGTTACCCTTTAAATGCGTATAAATATAGCTGACAGTGTTGTGAAATATTGTGTTCAAATATGAAATATAAGACTGAATAGAAAGTGTTCACTCCCAAAGCTTCTTTACGGCATCCTTTGTGAAGAAAATGAAGCATAAATTTTCGAAGAAGTTCCCAGAGAGTATACTGCCATGTAAAGCAATGATTACATTATCATAACAGAATCACATTCAACGGGATGGGTGTTGGATGAAATTAAATCTCGAAACAAGTATGTATTGATTGAATAAAAGCTTGATGACGTCTATACTCTATTATGATCAAGGCCGAAGAAGTTTCCAAGTCTTTTGGCTCTTCGGTGTGGGTTGGAAAATGTTCCACTCACTTCGGTACAAAGGCCGTAAAATTATGGTGCAGCCGTATGAAACCTTTTGCACTCGCATTTTTTTTTCCTTGGCACTACAGCCCCAGTGGGCCTAGGCCTACCTCTATGAACTTCTCCGTTTACTTCGGTTCTCTAGATCTTACACATTCGGTAGGACTCCTTGGGCGGGAAATCAGCTCGTCGCAAGGCCTCTACCTGTATATAAACACAGAAAAACGCACACACACAAATTAACATCCATGCCTTGAGTGGGATTCGAACTTACGATCCCGGTTTCCAAGCGAGCGAAGATATTACATGCCTTAGACAGCTCGGCTACCGTAACCGGCTTTACATTCACATTACGAAACAATAATCCTATACTGTAGGGGATTTCAAGAACTGGTAGGTATTCGAGGGACTTCATACACATATTCACGCTGGTAATAAAGCTCCACTGCGTCATTTAGAAGTTGCAGTTTGATACACAAATAGTGCAAAACGTAATAAAAAGTAATAAAAGTAAAGCTATCCCTGTAACAGGCCGTGAAGGCCCATAGGGTTATGAGACGTTGAGGGTCCCACATTATCTAGACAATCGGCTCAAAGATGGCGGTAAGGTTGTCAGCCTTACGCGCCGGCCGCGCTTTACTCCCCAGGGAAATTATTTAATTAATAACTGGTACTCATTTCTGTTAGAGGCTGAGTCGACCCCAGGGCCATAGTGCTGCCGGAAGGATTAGGTCAGTTGAAAAAATCCAGTGACCTCATCGGGACTTGAACCCGAGACCTCCCGGCTTGTAGCATAGTGCCTCAACCAATTACTCTATTTGTGTGTGGAGAATAATTTGGTCCTTGTTGTTTCATGAAATTATAAATTCTTAATATTATGCAAGATTTATGCTGTCACCCTTCTTAGATATTTTGACTGATCAGGAAAAATCCAACAACATTTAAAGTAAATAATGCAACGGCACACACTACGGCAATTCTATGAATAAATTAGATGAGATCCTGGTCTCCGCGACCACCTGATTTAAATGTCTGTGAGTTTTTTTTTTTTTTAGAGTATGCTGGGCGAAAAGAAGGGCGTAAGTGAAAAAGCGTCCAAAGTTAGGAAAAACTTCAAGAAAGTTTTATACACTAAATTTCTGTTATTCCCTCAGAAAATCTTCGACGTGTGTTCAGAATCACATTCTCACAATGTGAGAAATGCAGAGGGCTCTCATTTCGAGACTTTTGTACAAGATAAGTTAATGTAAACCGGAGCGGAAGAGCGGGCTAACGCAAAGTGTACATGTGAAAAGAATACAGTGTCAAATGCGGAAAACTGTCAAACAACAAACAGTAAACCTTTGCTGTACGTAAGATCTCTTCAGCACAATATTTCAGACTTCCTCAATTTATACTATTAGATACGGACGAGAGACTATATTTATTTATTCATTTAATCTTCACCATTGTAAGATTTGCAGTGTACGTTGGGCGAAAACAAATGTGTAGGAAGGCCATACAGTTGATAAATGGAGAACGCGCGTGCGGCCAACGGAACTGCACTGGGCGTGATGAACAGTATGAGTAGTATATAAGGGATAGACTAACTTCATAGACAAGGCTTAGACATTCGAGTCACGGTTGCACAACAATTTTATTTCCTGTGGAAGATACTTCATTACCTGCCGATCACAGTGACAGTCTAAGGCATGAACCGTCTTCGCACCTTGATCACTGGGATAACAGGCTCGAATCCCACTCGAGGCATGGGTGTCTGTGGGTTTATTCTGTTTTTGTGTTCTTCTGCGTGCAGGTAGCGGCCTTGAGACGGAGTGATCCCCTGTCCAGGGGGTTCTACCGACTGTGTATAAGATCAAGAAATTAAAAAAGTGGTCAAGACCCGTAGGTCTGCAGAACCATAAAGAGAGAAAAAGGGAAAGAATCTAAAAAGTTCTAAAAACGTCCATGAGAAGGATCTTCTATAATTTTTAACTGTTTATCT